ACCAAACGGAGAAGAAGAGTTGGACTGTAGCTTCAGTCGCGTTAAATGTTCAGATATATTTAAGATGGGCAAGGGATGGCTGATCGATGTCTGTCAGGAGTGAACGGAGGAGATTGGCTGCAGTATTACTCACAGCGAGAGTGTCAACCCCGAGGTGGTGCTTGATGGAAGCACGACCGAAACTTCGTCTGTGTCCATTGCGCTCATGGTGGTTCGTTCAAGTGTCTTTGAGCCTGGCTGTGCGGGACCGCGCCAATTAGCGTTTCTTAGCACGTGGACACGCGTGCTCCGGCTTGGACGATGTGAGCTCGGGCTGACTCACTCTTCCTTTCCACAGGCAACAAAACGAAAAATATCTAGTTTTACACCTATAACAGCGATACAAGCAACATATGTGAAGGTGTACAAAAAATATGCAGATCACCAAAAATTCCCGCTAGCCGATTTGAACGACTGACCTCGTCATTACTAGTGACGCGCTCTACCAACTGAGCTAAGAGGGACTTGGCAGTGCTCTGCATAAGGTCTTGTCATTCGAGTGTCAGCGACATCAACTTGCTATGAGTCGGACCAGCTGCTCGCCATTCAAACACCCTCTTGCCTCGGGCGAGGTGAGGAATGCATAAGCCTCAGAGACGGTCATGTTCTTGCACGATTTCCTCAAGCTCTCGAGGAGTTCTACCAATAAAGTCCCATCCGGAGAATTCACGCCGTGAGCCGGCTCCAGTCGATCCTGGTCAACAGTCACGTCGATGTTAATACCAGTCTGAGCAGCGGCCATGGCCATGATCATGACTTTCACGATAGGATTACCACCAAAGGCACCAGAGCCCCAAAGAGGCGATGCAACGTCCAAGACTCCGTCATTCGCTAGGCGAGAGAAACCAGCGAATAGCTTGTTCAGCTCTCGCTCAACGTTCCCCGGAAGCAAATCAGGCAGATCTCCATCGATAAGATCCAACTCTAGCGCATCTGCAAAAATGAAAGACCGCGTCTCGGGTGCGTTTAATAATTGGACGAGTCTTGCTTCTCTTCCTTGCCCCTTCCATTGCGCAGTGGGCACAACGTTCCGTGCGAGAAGAGCTGTGTCTGCAGGAATGGGTGGTGTGACCAAAAGTGCGCCTAGAACAAGAAGAGCAGGGCAGGCAGCTGTAACCAATTCTTCTTGAGTACACGAGGTACCAAATCCAGGAGACGAATGTGAAGAAATTAAGCTACAGTATCGCGCGTTCAAAGGGAATTCGACATCGGATAGCGCCACCCGGTTGAATGTGACATGGTGGAATAAACGTGCCTGCGATGGAGCCCATGGATGGCCTAGAGGAGACGCACACCACTTGAATTGAGCAGAAGGATATGAATTTAGGAAGTAGTAGAAGGTAGCAGTTAAATATCCTTCTACCGCATTGGGCATTGGTTGGGACGTCTGGTACCAAGGCAGGAACGTGCAGCCCCATGTATTTCCATTCGGTGGTAGGAGTGTTCCAAGGAGTTGGTGTGAGAGGAGAGCTTTCACTTGACCATCCGAAAACTCGATGAACGGGCTGTGTATTGAGAGTTGCTGGAGTGTATGTGATGGGAACATCACGGGTAGAGAGACTGCGTGCTCTAGAATAACGTCCAGCAAACGAGTGCGATCGCCCGGCGGAATATGGTGGTGAATAAATTGGCGCAAAAAGCCTGTGTCTACCTTGCCATTCCCATGGAGAGAGTAACCCAGATCCTCAATTAAACCTGGCAGTTTCCCTAGAGAGGAACCATCGGATTCCTGCACATCCTTGATATGGCGGGTTATCACGTCCCACCAGGAGGGGCTTTCGCCGTCACAAACTCCTAAGGGGTCTGCTGAGACGAGGGCTGGATGACTTGGTAGTCGATAAAGGAGGATATCGACAACGCTCATTGGGTGTGGCAAGCAGAGACAAAGACTTTGCAACGCCCAACGCGTATTGACTTACCCTAAAGTCAGAGTCGCCCTGAAGGCTGCTCTCTTGTTCTCTTGTGTTCACACCATAACACCACCCCCAAACCGCAAAGATGTCGGGTTATGAGGCTAACAGTGTATACACAGTGACTGTACACGATCCGCCGGCGGCAACATCGCCTGAGTCCCCTTCAGAGACAGAAAGGCTCTTGCTCGATTTTTTGTTGCAGTTTCGCGTCGGCGGAGAGTTTATCTACCGGTATGTGGACTCAATGATCGAGGAGCCCAATCTAACGATTGTATAGAGACAAAATCCGAGCGAACTTGTTGCTCAAACAATACTTACTTGAAGTGGATCTCCGTCATATCAGTCTTTACAATGACGAGCTAGCCTTCGCCATCCAAGATAGACCCACAGACGTGTTGCCTCTGGTGTGTTTTCTGCTTGTTCATGGCGTCATTCACTGACTGTAACTAGTTTGAAAGTGCTGCAACCAAAGCAGCGCGTACCATCTTATTTCCGCTCGCCAGTGCTTCCCGAGCAGAAGCGGATGAAATACCACAGATTCAGGTTACTCTCCGTTCAGGCCTCAACATGATGCCGTTTCGAGATCTCACGGCTAATATAATGAACAAACTCGTGCGCGTCCCTGGCATCGTAATCTCAGCTTCGGTTCTGTCGTCGCGTGCAACCAAGCTCAACCTGCAATGTAAAACTTGTGGTTTCACTAAAGTCGTCCATACGAACGCTGGATTAGGGGGAATTGGGTCTGGTTCTGACCGTGGACTCCCTCGTCAATGTGAATCGCAAGAACAGGGGGGTGCAAAGAAGTCGTGCCCCATGGACCCCTACCTCATCATACACTCTAAATCGACCTTCATTGACCAACAAACACTCAAGCTACAAGAGGCTCCAGATATGGTACCTGTCGGAGAGTTACCCAGACACATGTTGCTTTCTGCAGATCGCTATCTGACCGGGAAGGTGATCCCTGGTTCACGCATTGTTGCGACAGGGATATACTCAACATTTCAAGCGGCTCGCAATGTGAGTGAGGTCAACACTCCCTTCTGCCACACGTCTCACCCTTGACGATGACAGAAAAATCACGACCCTGCAGCCTTGCGGCAAACCTACCTACGAGTAATCCACCTTGAATTGTCGTCACCCTCTTCCGCTGGAAGTGGAGGGTCAAACCCTTTTGGGGTTCAGTTCTCACCGGAGGAAGAAGAAGAATTTGGAGAAATGGCAAGGAGTGAAGGCTTCTACGAACGCTTCGCTCGGAGTGTCGGACCAAGTATATACGGAAGTCTTGGTCAGTGCAATCGGTTCGTTGACAGCTGTGTCACCTCATTCTTTAATAGATATAAAGAAGGCGATCAGCTGCCTGCTGTTTGGTGGATCGAGGAAAGTACTCCCAGATGGTATGAGGCTACGAGGAGATATCAATGTCCTACTCCTTGGTGATCCCGGTACTGCGAAGAGTCAATTGCTAAAATTTGTGGAGAAGGTGATTTCTTAATGTTCGTTCATGGTTCTCGCTAACGAATGACGCGACAAGGTCGCACCTATCGCTGTTTATACCTCTGGAAAGGGTTCGAGTGCGGCCGGATTAACAGCGTCAGTACAACGTGATGCCGTCTCGGTTAGTATCATGCCTTGGTGTCTGTCATCGGGGAAGCTCATTATACTCAGAGGGAGTTCTATCTTGAAGGTGGTGCCATGGTGTTGGCTGATACAGGTGTTGTGTGCATTGACGAGTTCGATAAAATGAGGGACGAGGATCGGGTGGCAATACATGAGGCGATGGAACAACAAACCATTTCAATAGCTAAAGCAGGCATTACAACGGTGCTGAACACACGAACAAGCGTCCTGGCCGCAGCCAATCCGGTGTTTGGCAGGTATGACGAGGGTCGAAGCCCTGGAGAGGTATGTAGCATCGGAAACGCGTGAATACCTGACGTTCACAACCATTCTTAGAATATAGATTTCCAAACCACGATTCTATCCCGGTTCGATATGATTTTCATTGTGAAAGACGAGCACAACGAGCAACGCGACAAGGTCCCCCTTTACCACTACTCGTTGGTGTACACTGCATACTGATTTCACACTCCAGAATATTGCCAGGCACGTTTTGAACATTCACATGAACCGTACTGTCGATGAAAGCGGTGATAACGCTGGGGAACTCCCGCTGGAGAAAATGAAGCGGTACATTGCCTATTGTCGACAGTAAGGTGCTTAAACTGTACGAAAGATTCCGTTCCGATTATTCATCTATAGGAAATGCGCACCCCGCCTGTCCGCGGACGCACAAGAGATGTTAAGCAGCCACTTTGTAAGTTTACGAAAACAGATCCAACAGGTGGAACAGGACAACGATGAACGAAGTTCTATTCCGATTACTGTACGGTACGTGTGCCCCCCCACACTGCAAAGGCACTTTTCATTTAGCCAGTCGAACATCACCCAAACAGCCAGCTGGAGGCCATCATCCGTATTTCCGAGTCCCTCGCCAAGATGACGCTTTCACCTGTCGTCAAGAACCATCACGTTGAAGAGGCAATACGTCTGTTCAAGTTCTCCACTATGGACGCAGTGTCCGCGGGCTCTGCTGATGGGTTATCCCGAGGAGAACTGAACGATGAAATGACGCGAATCGAAAAAGAACTTAGAAGACGGCTACCTATCGGATGGAGTACAAGCTACCAGAGCCTCGTGAAAGAGTTCGTAACACAACAAAGCTATTCAAGTCATGCTTTGGAACGGACGTTGTACATCATGGAGAAGCGAGAAATCATCCGTTTCTCGAACCAGGTTAGCCCTTTCCCCCTCGAATATGAGATCCCCAATCTGATCGCTGTTTATACCAGAAAAAAACGGTTCAAAGGTTAGCAAACTCGAGATCTCTGAAAAATTCGACTTATTTTATCTTAGGGTTGGAGTTTAGATGTACTCGCTTGCTGTTCTTGTATTGTAATACCCTACCTATATCTTTACCATCATGTATGCTAGAAAATGAAATTATGTCTCTCGATCACGTTGCCACAAGGAGGGTGAGATTCTATCGCCCGCCTAGCTCAATCGGATAGAGCGTCAGACTTTTACGGCGGGCGTTTGTCCGTAATTGTTATCTGAAGGCTGCGAGTTCGACCCTCGCGGTGGGCTATTCGTTTTGGTCAATTGTTTTTGTTTTGGGTGGTTGTTCGTCGAAGAAATAGGGTTTCTCTTTGTACGTTTGCAAGAGCTTTTTGTTTGTATACATTGTATTCTATCCATTGGTATTGCAATAAAAAGTACGTGAAGAAAAAAAAATGAGTAGCCCACCGCGAGGGTCGAACTCGCAGCCTTCAGATCATCCCGCCTAAGAGTCTGACGCTCTATCCGATTGAGCTAGGCGGGCGATATCGCAGGACGATCAGATAACTAGTTAGATGGAAGGCTATCTGACGTCAGTGTTGCAACGTGGAATATGTGCTTTAGTTAGCGATCCTGAGTGAACTAGGGTTTCACGGAGGCAGACAGTGAAGAGGTGACTGGGACGGTGGTGTGTTGTGAGGAGGGCAGTGCAGTGCAGCATGTGCATGTGCGTTTCACTGGTACTATACGATCGGGTGCCGGAAAAAGGGTGCCCGAATTGGGGGCCAGGGAGCAGGCAGGCAGTTGGGCTTGCAGAATCCATGGCTGAAGATATGAATGGGCGAGTTGCTCGCCACGGCAGGCTGGGGAGGACAGGCCAGAAGGGGACGTGTACGGCTGGGGAAGTGTGCGGCTTGGCGGCACGCGGGGTTCGCCGGTGGGAAGGGCGGCTTAGTCAGAATGCGCAGCTGGGTGTATATGGGCACAATCTTGTGGGATCAACCGCTTTCTCCTCAACCACCATCTCCACTGCCAGACAGCAACCGCCTCTGCTATCTCCTGTAACCTCTATTAACTTCTCCGCAGCCAGCACTATGTCGGAACAAACCCAGTCCTCACCCTATACACCTGTTGACCTCTTCAACATGGACTATGTGAAGCAGCAACATGATTTCTTTACATTTCACCCTGACGTCGTGGCCCCTACCCCGGACTCATTCGATTCTGACGTGGATTCCAGCCTCGCGACCTTGGATGAGGTTTTACAAGTCTTTACTGTAGATTTCAACGATGCCTACACTTCCCTTCGATCGGACACGCCCACGTGCGGTCCTCCATCCACCATAACAGTCTCCTCCGAATCGCTTTATGATTCCCTGTCCTCCCACTCAGATTCCTTGTACACCTCCCCTCACTCGTCCTACGACTCGAACTATTCATTCCCCTTGGACCTTGAGATGGACTTCCAGCGCATTCGCGTTGATGCTGTCGCTGACTTTGGAACCCCGCAACTGGGCACTATGGACCCTAATTCTTTTGGTCCGTTGCCTCCTACCCCACCTCGCAGCCCTCCTGTGCCTGTTACGCACGGCGCAAAGCCTTATGAAAAGTCCTACCCAGCGCGCACCAGTTATTCCGATTACACCCCTGGACGACGCAACTCCGTCTCGTCCGACTATTACTTCGCATATAACTCGCCTCTCGCACAAGCGACGGTCTCACCGTCCCATATCTCTGCGCACCTTCCTCTGGTGCCCACCATCCCTGCAGTCGGTCAGAGCGCTGACCCTCGGAGGAAATACAAATGCACAACGTGCCCACGAGGTATGGTACCGCCTTCCTGTCTTGATTGCCTACTCACTCTAGTCAATATAGCCTTTGCTCGTGCCTATAACCTTAAGACCCACATGGCCACACACGACCCCAACCGCCTCAAGCCCCATACCTGCCCCCACAAGTCCTGTGGCCGTTCTTTCAGTCGGAAGCACGACTTGGGTAGGCACCTCGTCAGTATCCACAGGGAAGACGCAGGGTTATCCATGCAGAAGAAGGTCTCTACCCTCAGTATTGGGATCAACAAGGGTTCCCGAGAGTGGTGCGACACCTGCGGGAAAGGATGGGTTGGCCCCAGTCCCACTTGTGACTGCTACGAGGCTGTGTCAACACATACTGGGTAAATCTGTCCATCAACGTTTCATCGCTGCCGTGAAAAACATGTGAGTAATGGTTTGTTGTGACACCCATATGTTTCTCATCAATTGTCCCAGGCCAATGCATTACCCCCGTCTCTGCTCGTCCAATATTATTATCTCTGTCCCCCTCGTGTCTTGGATTCGAGCCGTTGACACTCACTCCAGAGCGTCATTCGCTGTGTCACGTACCGTACCGCCTTGCTTTCGTATAAACTCGGCCCCGCGACGGACGTGATCTCGATATGAATATTTCCCTTCCCTCTCTCTTCTTAATCTATTAATTGCTGGCAACATTACTCTGGATTTGTTGACTTGGTCGCCTTGGCAATAGTATGGATTTAACCCGCTCCCTCACTTCTCACCCTTTCATGCATCAACCGCCTACCTTTCGTTAAAATTTCCGATATCTTACTTATATCATCATTCTCTGTACTCATGTTATTCTCTCGCATTTGCTATGTTCCTTGCTTTTGGTTGTACTGACTATAATTCAAATTTGATTCTTCGTCGCCCCCCAAAAGTCCAGATGATTCGATACTGAAATACATACAAACGTCGACAACTTCTAATCTTCATCACTTTTCTCAAGTGCTAGCATAGCAATGGCATACGTGTTTGCGACTAATACCACCGCCCAAACCATATATGCAAGCCAGGACATCCAACGTCCGTTGCTGTAGTCAACAATCTCTCGAAGGATACCTCTCCTCGCAGGGCGTACCACTTCTTGTACCTGAACTGGTACACCTTTCATATTCTCATCGTATTGAGTGTCTTCAGGTAGGTCCGTTCCATCGTCCTGGTCGTCGTCGTCCAAAGTTGGATCGGCGTCAACGATCTGCCGCGGCTTCCTCACTCGCATAACGACTTCCGAGGATGTCAGGTAGATCAAGGGGAACGCAACAAAGGGCAACACTACAGAGAGGACAACTTGGGATGCCACTAGTAGGTCGTTGATCCCGTCACGTCCAACAGCAACTGCCACGGCAACTGAGGGGATAAGGCTAATTAGCCGGGTTACCAGCCGGCGCAAAAATGGCTATGAAAGTGAGTGAGCTTATACGAGACTTGGCTAGGCCTTGCACATACAGATATTTTCCATTCGATAAAGCCCTCAGAGACAATTTGACCAGCAAGTGTAGCTGTAATGCTAGATGTCTGTCCAGCACATAGCAATGCGATTGCAAAGAGCATTCCCGCGCCTAGATCGGTGCGAACGTCAAATGTCAAGATTGTATTGCATACGGAAAAACTGGGACACAGGTGAAGTGCCGTACCTTTGCCGATGTGCGATGTAATGAGTTCATGTGCATCGAATAACCCGCCAGGTGTTTCGTGTTCCATTCCTGGGCCTTTGTAGAAGACAGTGGCGGCCAGTATTAAAATACTGTAGTGACCGCACGATTAGATTGAACTTAAGGAAGACAACTATTTTTGGGGCGGGACTTACGCTGAATTGATAGGTACAGCAATAAGCATAAGGCTGGACACAATGTCAACGATGCCGTGTGATAGGTGTTGCTTGATGAAAGTGTAAGAATTGTTCTCTCGTTGGCCATATGGTGATCGATAGTCCCTTTCTGCGGCAACACGGTCTGCACGTCGAACGCTGAATAGAGATTTTACATTGGCATATAGTCGCCCCTTGAATGATTTGGGTGGAGCGGATTGAGGTAATTCTAGTTCAACGGGGGCTATCGAAACCCGATCCTGTGTAGCAAGGGATGATCCAAGGAATAGCGCATGGGGCATAATCGTAGCTCCCAGGATACCGACGGCTAAAAGAGGCGTTAAAGGTCGCCGGAAGGAGCGGGAATGAGGTATTTACCGCTATAGACGGCTCCTGGAGCTGATTGGAAGAGTGCCTTGGAAGGTATGTAGCCCAAGAATACATCTGCCCACTTGGGATGTACTTGGACGATGAGCGCAACAAAGCAGCCAAACACCGCAAACACCTAAGGCGGTGTAAGAACAGAGAAATAGTAGTACTTGACACCCGACGTACCAGGGCGACGATGGTGGCTTCGAATATTCTAGCAGGCCGGCTTTGTTTCCCAGAGGTATCACTGAACGCTAAGAAAAATAGAACATCTCCTGCAGTGATGACAACACCACCCCATAGGGGAAGTTTCGGGAATAAAAGACACAAGCCAATCGCTGAACCTAGAAGTTCGGCGAGATCGGTCGAAATAATTGCAATTTCGGCAAGCACGTAGAGTGGATATAGGACCAGCCGTCTGACGAGACGTGGGTGCTTTGGATGGTTGTAGAGTAGCAACCTGCAGTGAGACGCTAGGTCTGTTCAGGGTGAGTCAGTAGGCATCCCTGGTCACCGGGGTAAATGGCCTAACCAAGTCCAGTGACGACACCTAGTCTACACGCTAGTAACTGTAGCACCGAGGAGCCATTATGTAGATAAAAATAGCCAGAGAATTGGGAATGAACTTCACCTGCAAAACGATAGCCCCCAATCCTGCCATCAGGATAACAAAGAGCATTGGCCTGTAGCCATAGCGCGAGCCTGCTTCGAGGTCTACGCTCCAATTACCACTGAAAATAGATCACACAAAAATGAGATCGCCTGTCACCACAAAAAAGAAGAGACGTACGGATCGAAATACGCTACTGCGCAAATGATACCAACACCGACATGGTGCTTTGCATGGTTGGTAACGGCGTCTACAGCAGCAGAAATTTTAGATTTTGGAGGAGCAGGAGGAGGTGGATCGAGCCTCGAAGACGACGACGATGCGACGGGCTCTGGTGAGGAAGACATACAGTTCGGGACAATCTTGTGGGATATATAACAGGTCGATTCAGGTCATAATGAGGCCAGTGAAACCAAGGTAATGGATTGCGATGGTGGATTTGGCAGTGAGTGTGGGCCTGGCATTGCTTCCCGTGTGAAATAACAAGGCATCCCGCTCCTCTGGTCAGGTTCGTCGCTATTATATCCGGACTCAGCTTTCTCAACGGATCGTATCTCGCCTGATGGACATAAACGATCTTCATCCACCAGACGATTACAGTCACCGGTTTTTCATCTGGCACGAATGGATACAGGTCTGTGGTTTTCGCACACCCTAGCGTGTACTTTCTTCAGTTATTATCTTTTAG